TGTTGGTTTTAGTAGGAGGGTTTGGGAAATGGATTGATTATTAAAGATTTATTTTGTTGCTGGAAGGCTGGGATTAGGTGAGACAAGTGGAAAGCGGGAATTAGGAGATATTTAGTCGAAGGAGTGGAGGTATGTGAGTGGTGGGCGTGGGTGCTGAGTAGGAAAGAGCGTGCGTTGTGTTAAGGAGAAGGGGGGATTAGGTGTTTTTTGTTTTTAGGAGTTGGGTCAAAGGGTGTGTTTGAGTGGTGGGCGTGGGTAGTGAGTAGAAATGAGTGCGAGCTGTGTTAGGGAGATGGGGGAGGATAAGGTGTTGGTTATTTATAAGAGTTGAGTGTTGTTGTTTTTTTAAGGATTTAGGGGTTTTGTGATTAATTCGGGGAGAGTGATGTATGTGAATAAGGATGAAAGGATAACGTGATAATTACCGATGATGGAGTTTCCTTGGCTGGCTATCAGGCAATGCTCTGTGCTGGCTTGGGAAGTGTTGCTCGCTTGGCCAAGACTCGATTATTTACAGACCGCTGTCCTATAGCTGGAATATTGCTAGGTTCGGCGTTAAACAACAAACAAACAAACGATGAGAGTGATTTTAAGAGTATGTGAATAAGGCTGAAAGGATAACGTGATAATTACCGATGATGGATTTCTCCTTGGCTGGCTATCAGGCAATGCTCTGTGCTGGCTTGGGAGGTGTTGCTCGCTTGGAGTACAAACTGCAACTGTGCTAAAACTTACTTACTTACTTACTTACTTTGGAGATTTAACGTGCACTTTCTGAATGATGCGTATTTCGGACACGGGCCCGGCCAGGCCATTTAATGTGTTTCCGAAAGGGGCTAAAACTTACTTACTTACTTACTTACTTTGGAGATTTAACGTGCCCTTTAACTTAGCTACAGTATGTATTTAACAAAGATTTGAACAATAAAAAGGAATAGGATTGGTTGATACACGATTGGTTGTGCCCTATGCTAAATGGATGGCTAGACAGAGAGGAATACTTAATCTTGTTAGACTGGCACTAATCTGGTTGACATATTTACTGGATGCTTTGGAAAGAGATTATGGTGTCACTATAGGTTGTGTTGGGGCTAATCCTTAATGCACTATAGACGAGCTTGTATGGGGGCTAATCCTTAATGAGTCTAAATTGCTGAATGTTATTCTAATATAGGTGATGACAGATTTACTTAAATAAAATAGTTAAAGGCAATCTATAACACTATGTAGACATATCTTTTGTCTGGAAGATGGGATCTTGATACCTTAGGCTAGCATTTATCTAAAAGCTTCTAATCTATTAAACTATGTAGACGTAACTCTTGTCTTATTGAATAGTATGTCTAGATGCGCTCCCATTACCTTAGGCTAGCATCTATCTAAAAAACTATAACTGAAACTACTGATATTTTATATATACATTTTACCTGATGATAAATATTACTTGCTAAACTATAATTATATGAAATGATGTATAAATATTACACCATGATAACTCATAAAAGCACTTGATGTGGATCTAATTATTATAGGATAACTTAGTATAAATGTTATCCCATGATAACTCCTTAACTATTTAGCAGTTTGGCAGGACTACAGGACGAGGGCTGAATCTCTTCCTCGGTTATCTCTAATGACAACACATCATTACATGTATCACATTTTGGGTTATCAACAGTCATTTACTTGATGATCAAAATCTGAAAATTCAACTGTAGATCTTTGATTTAATAGACACTTGAAATAGTCACAAAACACAGACGGGACCACAGTAGAAGAATGATTGGTATTTCATAAAAAAATGTTTTACAGTATCCCAATTTTTTTTTTTAAAGTCATTCCTTTTCACAGCATCATTAATATCTTCACTTATCTTCTCTTCGTGTTTGGATCTTTTATGTTTACAAAAGTCCTTGAAGTTTGTTTTTGCATTTAAGTATCTCTGTAAATTTTCAATACTTTTGTATTTCCTGTATTGATTTAAGAACCTGTATTTTTCTCTTTTCAGCATTGTGTACTGTTTATCAAACCAGATAGGTTGTTGTCGAAAAGTACGCCTCTTCTTGTTTTGAAAAATCATTTTACTGCCACTATACGAAAAGATATCCGTTAATCAACACGTAGCTGCATTTATGTCACTTTCAACTAATTCTCTGTTTTCCTCAACACCTGTTCTGTAAAAGTAGAATATCGTAATTCTCAGAAGCTTATATCTTATGGTGGGAATCAGTTGTAAAATATCTGTTGGTGGTGCTGATTGAGACGGCTGTAGTATATCTTTAATGATACATTTAAGTGGCATATGGTCAGATTCCTTTCAAGTCAAACCTATAAATCAGAGACATTGTGAAAAATGTCACTTGAAATGAAGAAATAGTCAACAATACTACATCCTTGATGGGATATGAATGTATAATTTGCAGGCCTATCTCCTTTTGTGCACCCATTTGGGATATGTATATTGAAATGTTTACACAGCTGTAAGAGACATCTTCCATATGTATCTACACCACTATCACTTGTATGTCTTGCAGTGGAATTATTATCTTGTCCAACTGGTAAATATGAAACGTCATCATCTATAACATAATCTGGCTCATTAGACGTTCTTGTGTTGAAATCCCTGCACAAAACAAACTGACAGTTTTCCCCAAAATCAAACAGTATCTGCAGAAGTTTAACTTCTAAAAGTTCAATTCCATTTCCTTCCAAGTGGTTATACACAGACAAGCCTTCTGGGTGGACATAGATAAACCCTATTAACAGATGCTATGGCAATGTTATGTTTTATCTGGAAAAAAATATATGTAATTTAAGTCCATGTATATTCCAGGAGCACATATCAAGTCCATCTTTACTTGGCTGTTAATCATTTGCCACGGCCACTGTCCTATTTCCGTCTCCTGTTAGACTTGGATGATGATGTAGTTTGTGTAGTTGTCCAGTTACATACGCTGGCCCATCTTGCCTATATCATCCTGTTGATCATACACAAACCGGTACACAGCTTGTCATAATTTAGAAAAGCAATCATATTGTCATCACAGAATTTCTTCATACATGGGAATAATTTGGATCTGATCCATCTGGTCCATTCAGCATAATCCTCTGATACCCTGAATGTTTGGTTTCCTATCAGAGTTTTTCTAGCGCTGCATCAAGTATTAATGCTTTATCTTTGAAGAAAGTCAGTTTCACAACTGTTGGTTGTTTACCTGTCTTGGAAGACAAATGATGGCTCTTTCAATATGGATGGAATAAGCAGTTTCCAAATTCAATGTATCACTCATAAAATCCCTGACATTCTGTTCACATTCTTCCCATGATTCTCCGGAGTCAAGTTATTCCGACATGAATGACCTAAACTATCGGCCAATTCTGGCCTTCCAAATGTCTGCACACACTCCCTATGCTGTCTGTGTGTTCTCTGGTACCTAATGTCCTGTCTGGTTGACTCAGTGATCACCAAAAGATGCATTTACCATCGTTTGATGACTTTTCTCTTAACTGATTCAGAATCATGTTTACCGCCATATCTGATCAAGTGACACTATCATTTAGGAGAAATAAACCTGCTGTGTTTTGAAATTTGATGTAGTCCAACTGTAGAATAGATACCTCCTTATTATCCCCCGCCACGAAGTGGAAGGGGGATATAGGAATGGGTGCTGTCCGGCCGTCACATTTCGTTTCCGGAGCAGATCTTGAAAACCGTACCATATTTCTTCACCAAACTTAGCACATAGTTAGATCTAGTGGTGAACTGATGCCTTTTGATAGTTTGGGATTTTTAAAAAAGTTATTTTTCGAGTTTCCATGGCAACGACTTTGATTTAGACTGAAAAAGGCAGTAGTCCTCGTTTTCTGGAGCAGATCTTGAAAACCGTACCATATTTCTTCGTCATACTCTGCACATAGATAGGTTTAGTGGTGAACTGGTGCCTTTTGATAGTTTTGGAATTTTTTTAAAAGTTATTTTTTTAGTTTCCATGGCAACGACTTTGATTTAGACTGAAAATGGAGGTAGTCCTTGTTTCCAGAGCAGATCTTGAAAAACATACTATATTTCTTTACAAAAAGGCCCAGTGAACATAGTTCACAGGAGCTAATGCATTTCACACACCTGACATGTCATATTGGCTGGGGGATGTGAGTATTTCATGCTTGTTTTAATTTTGAACCGAGCGCATCTTTTGTGGTTAATGGTTCAGCCTCTTTGTATTGACAAGCTGCATCAACTTAGCTACATCAACTACAGGTCAATGTTGCATCTACCATGTGTATTTGCGGGATTTAGGCTACTTTCCTAGGTCTGTTGCTTTTGACAAAAATAATGGGCCAGCATATGCACATATATGACATAGTTATGGCGCTTTTATGTTGTGGATGAATAGGATTATCAACTAATTAATGACAACAGAAAAAAAATTAATGTTTCAAGAAACGGTACCTCACGATGAAATTCGGTAACCAGCAGAGTGGTTTCATTCTTTGCTTTCACTAAATCTGGGCAGGGCATAAGTCCGTGGATAGGATACTAATATACAATAGTGAAAGTAAAAATAACAAACACGCTTTCACATTCAACATTCTTCATATAAAGCAGGGGGTGTAGTTGACGCCTCGTCTGTCCGTCCGTCGATCCATCCGTCGATCCATCCGTCTGTAATAATTTCGTTTCTAGAGCGTAACTTGAAAATCTGATTTTTCCCTGTTTCTATGGTAACATGTCAGATTTATATTAATAAAACTAAGCGTTTTTGAATATCATACGTAATTTAGATGTGCTTCTTTGCTGCTGAAAACAATTGAAGTCATTTTTGCAACAGACTTCTCATTGGGACGTGTTAAATCTTTTAATTAGGTCAATGATTACCAGGTAAGCGCATTTTTGGGAATCATCATTTATGTTTTAACTTTATATGGCAAAAGGGTACATGTAAAGAACTATCATTAAATGTAAGCAGCTGGATTAAATATGTATTGACATTTATCTTCAGGTTGGTACTTTTGATCCATACAGTGATGATCCAAGACTTGGAATCCAAAAGCTGTCCATGTGCCCACTTAGTGAGACATTAGTCATTGCGGGCACTGCAGGCCAGGTAATCATTCTCCAAATGGAACGAGAGGATCGTGAGCAGGAAGTGAAAACAACTAAAGTGAACATAGTTAGTGACAGAGACAGTTTTGTCTGGAAAGGCCATGAAGCTCTGACTTTAAGAGAAGGTGATATCAAGTTTGCCGCAGGTTTCCAGCCCACCTGTGTTATGCAGTTATACCCACCAGCTGCCTGTACTGCCCTTGCTGTCCACTCAGAATGGCAAATGTAAGTTAACCTAATTAATTTTTATTTTACATCACAATCAGCGATCTTGTTTTATACGTAAGATATATGGTTATTTCCTATGTAAGGTTGTATAATATGCCTAAATGCTGCGCCAATATTTAACTTGTTTTACAGGTAATTATACGAAACATGCAAGGCAGGATGGAAGAAAAATATTTCATACTTTTTATATACCACTAGGGAATTTGTATGACATATAATTGGATGACATTGAGATCATGGTCCCTCAGCATGAACTAGGTGTGAAGAAAACTTTTACACAAGAACTTGCATGAGTGTTTAAGATAGTCATATGATGAAATTTAATATCTCTAAGGTTGTCGTGATTGCTAAAGCTTTTCATTAACTGCTGTATAGTCCAAGACTGTCTCTGTGGTTTAGTGGATGGAGCATCTGCCCACTGAATGGACTTTTGGTGGTACTTGTTACCCATACAGGCATCCAGGATTGGGGGGATAAAACAAGGATGGGTGTCCAGGAGTCGGTATACTGTCTAAGTGGCGTATCCATGTTAAACTACAGGATGGTATCTCGGGCAAGCTCACATGTACACACGTGGGAATGGACAGTACAATATAACTTTGATCAACATGGAGCAAATAAGTTTTGTAGCATATCTATCTATTGATGTCATTAAGCACACATGTGTAACCTAGAAAATAAAACAAATTGTAATGTGCATGTGGTACCTTCAGAATCAGAATATGGCACAATTCAGTTTAATTATTTATATAATATGAAATTAGAAAACCACCATATTATGAAAACAAAATTAGTAATATATTTTCACTGCGTTGACTTCATTTGTGATTGTTTTCAAGGAACAAAGGGTATTAAGTCAACACAATCGTAATGGTAATACATAATACTGTTGACATTGATATATAAAGTTATAAAAAATATATGCATGATTAATCGCTACATTGTTGTAATATTATTTTGTAATGAAGTTGGTTTGTTTTGTTTTACGCAGCACTCAGCAATATTCCAGCTATATGACTGCAGTCTGTAAATAATCGAGTCTGGACCAGACAATCCAGTGATTGATGTCATGAGCATCGATCCACGCAATTAGGATTGATGACATGCATCAACCAAGTCAGCGAGTCTGACCACCAGATCCTGATAGTCGCATCTTACGACAAGCATAGTCGCCTTTTGCAGCAAGCATGGGTTCCTGAAGACCTATTCTACCCCGGATCTTCACAGGTCTTGTAATGAAGTAGATTTGTGGAGACATGCAGACATTGTTACAATTGAAACAACATCGTTTTTAATGTGTTATGTTTAACCATAACCATACTTCTCTTATGAGAGTTGATCCGTGAAGATTCCAGGGTAGAATACTTGCCGTAAAAGGCGACTATGCTTGTCATAAGAGGCGACTAACGGGATCGGGTGGTAAGGCTCGCTGACTGGTTGATACATGTCATCGATCCCAATTGCATGGATGAATGCTAATGATGTCCATCACTGGATTGTCTGGTCCAGACTGATTATGTTACAGACCACCGTCATATAGTTGGAATATTGCTGAGTGTGGCATTAAAGAACAAACAAACAAACAAACAAAACTTATGAGAGTTAAGTCCCTAATGGTAACATGTTTACTCCTGTTGCCTGACACATCAATTATTCACATTGTTCAAAAGTGCTAATATCTCACAACACAGAAACTGGAATCTTTTTTTCCGTATAGCGATATGCTGTTCACCTGTCCCTGTCCCTCTCGACAGACCCGCTTTACGGAAATGGGTCAACGTTTCACTTCAGCAAATTGCTATATGGGGAAATAGGTCGGATAGATCTGGACTGGTTCCCTACCTGTTGGCACAATCGCAACTTTAGGCACACGTTAAATTTCTTGCTTCAACCACCTGTTGGTGCGACTATGAGATAACAAGATCAGTGGAGACACGCAGATTTTCTTAGAATTTTACTCCTGCAACGATGCGAGTATGTACTTTTCTTATAACCATGATCTGCACTTCCTGATAAGAGTTACCTCCCAAATGCTAAACATACTGTATGTTTAGTCCTGTAGTCTGATGTCAATTATTCATGCTGTCCAACACAGAACCTGGGTCAACCTTTCTCTCTTTTCCCTATGACAGACCTCGTCTCACTTCGATCATTGTCCGGGACAGTCATAATGTAGTGTAATGATTTACATTTAGGTTTGTTTTAAAAAATATTTTCATAATTATGTATGTATTTTGTATGTATACATCCCACTATGCATGTGTGAGACAAAGATATGGTTTCTTTTAAAAGTTTGTTTCCATCTTTCCAACATCCCCAGTCCCCCATGTAATTTCCTCAAAACCCATAGCCTGGTGCCGTGCAATAAGTGAAATATTCTTGAATCAAGGTCACTTTGAAAGAATGTAGAAGCTTTGAGGAAATGGTGGTGGTAGTGGTGGAGGGGCTGCTTCTATTTTTGCTTGTGAAACAAATACTTAGTTTCTTTCTGTCTTTGGCCACATTCAGGTTCAGATACTCTTTTATAATGGGCAATATGAATGCATATTGTTTGTTTCCAGCCAGTTTTTGTCTTAAGATTTTTTTGAAAGTGTGTAATACTTTCATTTCAGAGTGGCTGCTGGCACTGCCCATGGCTTTGGTTTGTTTGACTATGTACAGAAAAAAGAAGTGTCCACGAGATGTACACTAAATGCAACAGGTTGGTATCTTAAACTTTACCTTGCTGAATTTCCTGCACATCTCATAACCCTGCCTGCTGGATTTATTTCAGCAAATAGTGGGGCTTTGGAGTAGCCTTGTGCGTTGGCTCGTCACGCCGAAGACTTGGGCTTGATTCCCCACATTTTCCGGTGTGCCCCGCCGTGATATTGCTGGAATGTTGCTAAAAGCGGCGTAAAACCATATTCACCCACTCAGTCGTTCTTTCAGCAAATGGGGTGGGTGATTCAAATATTTTTCACATTTTTCCTGATAGAATAAAAGACTAATATCCTACATTTTAGCGGACCCATGAAGATCCGGGTTAGAACAGGTCATCAGCAACCAATGCTTGCCATAAAAGGCGACTATGCTTGTTGTAAAAAGCAACTAATGGGATCAGGTGGTCAGACTCACTGGTTTGGTTGGCAAGTCATCGTATACCAATTGCATTGATCGATGCTGGATTGTCTGGTCCAGACTCGATTATTTACAGACCACCGTCATATAGTTGGAATAATGCAGAGTGCGGCATAAAAAAACAAAAAGAAATGTAATAAACATTTTCAGTGTTAGTTTTGTATAAAATTTGGGATTTGTAGTGATTTCTGCTCTTACGTTTATAGTATGATTTTAAATGTAGAACAGTTTTGACTAGGTCTGCAACGATACACCTTGGTAACGATACAATACGTATCTCGATACTTACATCATGATTTGATATGTATATCTATACCCTACGATACACATAGTGACAAGAAAAGACGAGATAAATGAATTAAACTTAATTTGTTAAAATGAAAAATTAAATGAACGTGAATGAATGTTCATGATTCATAAAATATATACTGTAATGAGTATTTTAACTTAATGAATCTGCCATTTCCATGTAATGGCTATCAAACACAAAAGTAACAGTCCTACATGTTTGTGATCATGTATGATACATAATACAAATAAAATGAATTCAAATAAAAGATATTTTCAAACACTAAACAGTTTTCATTAACATTTCAAATACACGAAAGTCTGCAGTATTTTGAAATGCCATAAGACAAACATCAAAGTAACAGTCCTATACATGGACTAGATAAGTACCAGTAACTTGTCATTTTCACAGTGAGGCAAAAACAATTAAAAACAATTATAATTATTGCAACCAACAGAACACTCCGGATGGAATGATTTAAGTAAGTAAAGTAAAGTAGCAATATGAGCTTGTCAAACATGATCAGGGGTGAGACATGCCTGTTGAGCAGAAACAATATTACTGGCATTGTCACTGCATACTGGAATAGTTTCAAACTTCTCAACAAAAACTTTCCATTCTTCTAATGCATGAATTAGAACATTAGCTAGGTTGCTACCAGTGTGGCTTTCATGCAAGGGCCTTGTTTGTAGAACTGGGTTTTCCCGTTTCCATTCTGCAGTTATATAGTGTGCAGTTATTGTCACATAACTTTCACATGCAGGTGAAGTCCATCCATCGGTAGTTTGGGCTAATGAACATGCATTTGTCAGAGTTTCAAGGACGTGATCCCTGGTATTAGCATACAGGCCAGGAACAACAATGTTCACAAAATGGGTCCTCGATGGAATTTTGTATTTGGGCTCTAATGTTTGCAGCAGATTTCTGAATCCAACATTCTCCACTACAGAATATGGTCTCATATCAAGAGCCATATACATGCCGATACTCCTAGTAATGACCCGGGCACGTGTTGACATTCCTGCAATTTGTTTTTGAAAGCCTCTTGTAAATAAGTTGACCAACTGGAGTTGGGTTTGACTGATCATTCATGTTAAAATCCGTTTGGGATTTAGTAAAGTTAGTTACAGGCTTTGTCTTTTTCCCTGTGACCACTCAGCCAATCGGAAAGCTTTGAACTGCAACTGATATACAAAGCTAGCATAGCCGTTGTATTTTCAAAGACATACGTGTGTTACGGAAATTATATTGTCCCTAAGTTTTTTTATGATTGGTTTGAATTTGAAATTCATTTAAGACATATCTTTGAAAAAAGTTTATCAAAATAAACATATCGTGAAAAATCGAGATACAGCACTTCACAAATCTCACACCATATCGTATGGAATGAATCGCAATGCATGGGTGTCCTGGGATATCGTTTCAGCCCTAGTTTTGACATATCATTTATTTATTCTACACATGAAAGTACCTCCTTGGTGGAATATAGATGATAGATTTGTTAATGCATATTTATTTACTGATGAATTGAAGGGTTATGCATCTTTGTAAAAATTTGCAACAATGCATCTGTACAGTATAACTGATCAATCTTTGATTATGATTTTTCATCTTAACATCAATTAAATCTGTTTCTATGTAATTGTTTGACATCATTTGATATTAATAATTCATGAATAATAAGTAAGGGGTATTATATTATGCCCCACTAAGATAAATAACCAAGACCCAATCACTGTACTCATTTATTTGAGAATTCATTCAGAATACATGTAGTTTTATTATCCCCCGCCGCGCGAAAGCGCGAAGCGGGGGATATAGTATTCACGACCGTCCGTACGTCCGTCCGTACGTCCCACCTGTTTGTTGCCGCGATATCTCAAGAACTAAACACTGGATTGTCTTCATATATTTGGAACTATGGTGTATATACAGACTCTGCAGACACCAGTCGGTTTTGGTGACCTTGATCCCATTTTCAAGGTCACAGCAGACAAATCTGCTTTTAGAGTTGGAAAACGGTGTTGCCGCGATATCTCAAGAACTAAACACTGGATTGTCTTCATATTTGGAACTATGGTGTATATACAGACTCCGCAGACACCAGTCGGTTTTGGTGACCTTGATCCCATTTTCAAGGTCACAGCAGACAAATCTGCTTTTAGAGTTGGAAAACGGTGTTGCCGCGATATCTCAAGAACTAAACACTGGATTGTCTTCATATTTGGAACTATGGTGTATATACAGACACCGCAGACACCAGTCGGTTTTGGTCACCTTGACCCCATTTTCAAGGTCACAGCAGGCAAATCTGCTTTTGGAGTTGGAAAACGGTGTTGCCGCGATATCTCAAGAACTAAACACTGGATTGTCTTCATATTTGGAACTATAGTGTATATACAGACTCCGCAGACACCAGTCGGTTTTGGTGACCTTGATCCCATTTTCAAGGTCACAGCAGGCAAATCTGCTTTTAGAGTTGGAAAACGGTGTTGCCGCGATATCTCAAGAACTAAACCTCTCGATTGTCTTCATATTTGGAACTATGGTGTATATACAGACACCGCAGACACCAGTCGGTTTTGGTGACCTTGACCCCATTTTCAAGGTCACAGCAGGCAAATCTGCTTTTGGAGTTGGAAAACGGTGTTGCCGCGATATCTCAAGAACTAATCGCTGGATTGTCTTCATATTTGGAACTATAGTGTATATACAGACACCGCATACACCTGTCAGATTTGGTGACCTTGACCCCATTTTCAAGGTCACAGCAGGCAAATCTGCTTTTAGAGTTGGAAAACGGTGTTGCCGCGATATCTCAAGAACTAAACCTCTCGATTGTCTTCATATTTGGAACTATGGTGTATATACAGACACCAGTCGGTTTTGGTGACCTTGACCCCATTTTCAAGGTCACAGCAGGCAAATCTGCTTTTAGAGTTGGAAAACGGTGTTGCCGCGATATCTCAAGAACTAAACCTCTCGATTGTCTTCATATTTGGAACTATGGTGTATATACAGACACCGCAGACACCAGTCGGTTTTGGTGACCTTGACCCCATTTTCAAGGTCACAGCAGGCAAATCTGCTTTGGGAGTTGGAAAACGGTGTTGCCACAATATCTCAAGAACTAATCGCTGGATTGTCTTCATATTTGGTACTATGGTGTATATGGCGGGGGATATTTCGTCACTCTGTGACAAATACTTGTTAGACTATGTTTAGACACCAGTCATTCAAATAAGGTTCATAAGGAAGCTTTGGTAGCAAATTGATTCAGGGCATAATGTATCATAATAGAATGGAGATAATTAACACTGGATAATCGAAGATGGCTTACAGTTGATATGAAATGATGTCATGTGTTTTTGGCCAAATCAAATGAGAGCTTCAGTACTATGAATTATATACATTTTATACACGGTCAGATTACCACTATTGGCGCCTTAAAAAAACTTTAATTGACAGAAAATGGATACATATATCGTAAATGCCATACTTTGAGTCTTTAAAAGTCTTATTTGTTGTAGTTTGATGATTTTTGGTCAACATGTGGTTCTCGCGATCACGAGCAGGAGCCTCGACAGTGACTGGTCAAATTGTTCCATGTGAAAAAACAAACTGGCAATAGCGATCAGCTGCACCGAAGTGCTATGCTTAGGGTTATTATTATACTACTCAAAAGAAGTTAAGGATCACCTGATTCATATTGGTAAAGTTAATCTGTCATGGCATGAGAGATTAACTATTGTAATATGAAAGAATCAGGTGATCCTTAACTTCTTTTGAGTAGTATATTTTAAAAATATTTAGTGAAAGCTGCAACTAAAATAACATGATATTGGAATGTATTATTCCTGATAAAAAAATAGTTTCAGATACCATATTTCCCGATAGTTGCATGAAAATCCTGTAAAGTTATATCATTGGGTAAGTTTTAAACAAATTACTGGTAGATTCCCCGAAAACGTGTGTACAGCTGTTTGCTGTTTCTGGCTTGGTTTACGAGAAAATACACAAGGTAATCTTAATCCCTGCATGTAAAACAATGCCTAGCAGAACAAAAACAACATTTTAAACGGTAAATCAACATGTCTGGTGATTTTTTATTTATCTCAAATTTGTACTGACCAAGTTTCTTATCACCTGTTCGTTTGCTCTATACGGTACTCTACATCAGTGTTCCCTCTGTAAAATCATAAACCACACATGAGGCTTCAGCCATGGCCTGAAAAGTGAAATACAATGTGATCAAGTCAGATAATTAATCAGAAACATAAAATATTCTGAATGAAATTTCAAAAGTTACTTGCAAGGCAGGGAATAGTGAAATAATAAAACAAAGTATATTTTCCAATCTTGTTTTACTTCAATTTTCCATCTTTACTAACTTTGGATTCTTTTCGTGAAAAAGAAGAAAAAAACTACCCATATTTTCTTGTTTATAGTGCACACTTTTCCCCAAAAACACATCTTTGTAGAGTAGGGTGCTCATTATACATGCCTTAGTGAGTTTTAATGGTTTTTTTCCTAAACCCAAAGACATTACCATGAGCACCTAACACCGGAAATACCATGTCAACAAATCCGTACTGAAGTACTCAATCTAATCTTGTAATTACACTGTCTGTTTAAAAACAGTGTTCAATGTATAACTGGATTTAAGTTTGTAATCAATCTTATTATTTTTATTCAAAATTTCATTCTATATTGTTTACATTAATTTTGGCGAAAAAGTGTGTGAAGTAATCAGGACATCGTGCCAACTCAGTTATTCATTGCACGTGTAACTGAAATTTTTGAGAAAAAATTATTTACAGAAGCAGATCTATAAAAAGTTAATTTAATACATATGCCCTCATGTTCATTGTATTTGGATTATTAAGGTTTTAAAAAGATAATCGCCGCCTCCGTGGTCTAGTGGTAGAACGTCCGCCCGGAGAGCGGAAGGTACGGGGTTCGATCCCCGGCTGCGTCATACCAAAAGACGTTAAAAGATGGTACTTGTTGTTACCCTGTCTGGCGCTCGGCATTAAGGGGCTAAAACAAGGACTGGTCGGCTCGGAGTCAGTATACTGTGTCTGAGTGGGGTATTCATGTTAAACTGCGGCATGGTATCTCAGTGGGCTAGCAGTATAAATCGGCATCAGTCCGGACTAGTACAAGCAGCCACACAAACACACACACGTACATGCACGTTGCTATATAAGTGCAATAATCTTGGGCGTAACGTTAAATCCAATTTCACCTCACCTTAAAAAGATAATCCAAAATATTGGAGAGGTGATTTAAATGGCATGCTTGAGTGTAAACTGGTACCTTTCCCTTGGAAAATGAACACAACTATATTTTTCAAAAGTGAAATTGCAAAATAAACTTGACTTTGATTATTTGTGACCAGTTCCAGGCCTATTAGGGCATTTTGTCTGAATTCTAATTTTGCATTTAAGGCCTCTTCAAGACTTGTACAAACCATGATATACGAGTTATTTTCTTCTCTAAGATCTAATGGGAACATCAGAAACCCCCATGTCCAGAAGAAAATCTTTGAAGAAATCTTTGAGAGAATCCTTTCGAAGACTTAGGCGTAGGAGATCAGAGCGGAGGAATAGAGATGACAAATCCAAGGAACAGAAAGTCACGTAAGATTGGAAACAAAATATTTTATGGTACTTTTATTGGCTCATCTGACTGAAAGTCAGTGGCTTGACATAATATCTATACCTTTTTTATTTGTGACATTATCCATTTCCATTACGATCCAAATCATCCATTTAAGAACTTGTTGTATTGTAGCCTGTTAAGATCACTAATGGTCACCATTTCAAAGAAAACAATTCCTCTTTTGTTAGTTTCCAAGTGATATTGTTACTTTCAGTGCTTTTGTCCTCTCCTCTTAGTTTTTTTTTTGGGTGTCAACCTAGCATTTTACTGGATATTGGGGTAGGAGTGAGTAGCTTAGTATGATCATTTGCTGTTTTTTTTCCATTCTCATTAACATCAGATCTTAGTGCTCACCACTGCTACACCAAAGGTCGGAGGCTTCTCATTACAGGTCAGATGAGAATGACCTTTCAAAATATTTGACCCGACCAATGAAATGACTAACAGGAAACCATTCAGAAAGCAGCTTTCTCGAGCTTTAATCACTTGTTTCAAAATGGTTACTTCCATTCCAGACAAGACATAAAAAATATTTTGAGAGGTCTCGATTCAAAATTTGAAATCTGAACAAAAGAAAATTGTGGAATGCCAAATATATTGCCGCAATTGTGTGGCAATACTTCCCATGGACTATGGAAAGTCTTTTGTATCAAATTCTTTTTCCCATTGAAGTGAAAGATAAACTATGTCTAGCATTTAGAATCAGTTGTACAGCCTATAATTGTCGTTTGGAATACTCCATGTTAACCTTTACAACCAGCTTCATGGAATGCAGTCAAGTGGTATCTTGTTGCCAGTAGAAGTATGTGATGTTCAGCCAGACTTAAATGGGTTATACTCCCTGTGGGCTATAGTGTTGGCCAGGCAGTGATTGCCTAGTAGCCTCTCACCTTTGGAGAAAGATGGGCAGTGAGGATTTCCGGCCTTTTGGGGTCAGCTGGCAGTGAACATGACTTCTGTCGTAAATCTAAAGGTATTTTATAGTTTGATGACAGCCAAAATACAGGGTTATAGCAATGATGTAGAAGTGTTAGTATTCTTAGAATTATTAACAATGATAAATATTGTCGGATGTTTCAGTGAGACCCAACACATTGAGCAGCATGCAACAGAGGCCACTTCAGCAACAGCAGGAGCAGCCATTGACTCCAAACCAGTAGAGAGAGTTGTAGAGGCCAGGACAGCTGATGATTCCATGTCTTCAATGGTAAGGTGTCTGTATTTTGCAGATACCTTTGTTGTTACAGGTAATTTATGAATCTTTGGTTAATCAGCACCATGTTTTGCTTTGGAAACCATGCGTAACATATCCAAGATTTCATATTTAGTGTTTCTTCTTTGTAGCCATGCGTTAATTATCCCCCGCCCAACAAAGTTGGCGGGGGATATAGAAACGGGCTCCGTCCGTCACGTTTCGTTTCTGGAGCATAACTCATAAACCGTTCAATATTTATTCATCAAACTTTGCAGATCTGTCAGGTACATGCTGAACTGGTGCCTTTTGCTATTTAGAAATTTTAGAAATTTTTAGTTTTTACATTTCCATGGCAACAAGATGGACTTAGGTTCTGTGAGGGTAGGGTTCGTTTCCGGAGCATAACTCATAAACCTTTCAATATTTTTTCATCAAACTCTGCAGGTTTGTCAGGTACATGCTGAACTGGTGCCTTTTGCTATTTAGAAATTCTAGAAATTTTTATTTTTTACGTTTCCATGGCAACAAGATGGACATAGGTTCTGTGAGGGTAGGGTTCGTTTCCGGAGCATAACTCATAAACCTTTCAATATTTTTTCATCAAACTTTGCAGGTCTGTCGGGTACATGCTGAATTGGTGCCTTTTGCTATTAAGAAGTTTTAGAAATTTTTATTTTTTACGTTTCCATGGCAACAAGATGGACTTAGGTTCTGTGAGGGTAGGGTTCGTTTCCGGAGCATAACTCATAAACCATTCAATATTTTTTCATCAAACTTTGCAGGTTTGTCAGGTACATTCTGAACTGGTGCCTTTTGCTATTAAGAAGTTTTAGAAATTTTTATTTTTTACACTTCCATGGCAACAAGATGGACATAGGTTTTGTGAGGGTAGGGTTCGTTTCCGGAGCATAACTCATAAACCGTTCAATATTTTTTCATCAAACTTTGCAGGTCTGTCGGGTACATGCTGAACTGGTGCCTTTTGCTATTTAGAAATTTTAGAAATTTTTATTTTTTTACGTTTCCATGGCAACAAGATGGACTTAGGTTCTGTGAGGGTAGGGTTCGCTTCCGGAGCATTCTGTGAGGGTAGGGTTCGTTTCCGGAGCATAACTCATAAACCGTTCAATATTTTTTCATCAAACTTTGCAGGTTTGTCAGGAACATGAACTGGTGCCTTTTGCTATTTAGAAATTTTTATTTTTTTACGTTTCCATGGCATCAAGATGGACTTAGGTTCCAAACTCTTCTTTTTTTTACAATTTCCATGACAAGTTCCACCTCGGTTAAAAAAGGGTAGGGTTTGTTTAGATTTAATTATGTCATAAATTCTGCAACAGGGGCGGGGGATATAGCCACGTTAGTGGCAAACTCTTGTTAAAGCTTGGATCATGGTCTGTTTGTTCATCGTCTGGCAAAGGTCTCCCCAGAATAGCGACTACATCACTGAAGCTGAAATCTTAGCATGCTTGTTCCAAAGACAGAGGATGCCCACATCTTTTCAATATTGCAATTTAATTTTAAGCTCAACCTGATTTTAAGATACTGGTTACTGTGATACACTTCCAATGAGTAACATGCCATAGAGCAGCCGACCCATATCTTTGCTGCTTTGGTAAAGATTTGTTTTTTCTCGATCACAGCCATGATAAGAAAATCATGTGTGGCCATTGGACAGCCATTTTTGCAGATGTTGAAATAAAAATTTCACATACATGTACCTTATGCTGGGGATATACAGGTCAGTATTCTATTTTTCACATGTTTGGGCATTATGTGACACATGACAACAGACTTTTGTTCATTAACGTGTTTCACGCAATAATGTCTTAGGCAATTTGACCAAATGCTCATAAATTGACTAGTTTGAGTAGTATATATAAATATTAGCTTCCACAGCTAAGGTGGTTGTTATGGCCCACCACGAGGTTCGTACGTCTGCTTCTCATAAGGACAAATTTTCTCAAAAACTATTTAAGATAGAGAAATAAAGTTTACACACTAAAGTTACTGGTCACGATCTCAAATGAGTTTGATCACTGGTGTCTTAAGTTTATCTGTTTCCCATTTCCGGAGCAGATCTATTTCAATTATTTATTTTTCATGACTACAAATTGGACTTGTCCTGAGAATGCTCGTTTCCGGAGCCAATCTCTAAAACCATTGAATATTTCTAGATGAAACTTGCTATACAGAATACTATGAAGAATACTGAACAGCATTATTTTTTTTCATTACTGAGCTAGAGGTATCCAGTGGCAATGAACCGAACGTGGGCTACAAGTGGCCTTCCTTCATTTCTGGATTGCACCATATATTGGTTGGTGGGATAAGGTCCTTGCTTCATGTGATTCCTACACCTTTTGATATGGGAGAAAAAGGAAACAAAACAAATGCAAGATGGGGAAAATGTCCATGGATGGGTGGGCAAGCATTTTGCTTGAATCTTTTGCACCTATATTTCTAAAACTCACTGTAAAGGTTTGTACCCAAATAAGGTTGAAGTGTCATTTAATTTTTATCCCCGCCACAAAGTGGAAGGGGGATATAGGAATGGGTGCCGTCTTTCCATTCGTCCGTCACATTTGTTTCCGGAGCAGAACACAAAAACCATGAGAGATATCTTAACCAAACTTGGCACATAGATAGGTCTATCGGTGAACTGGTGCCTTTTGATGGTTAGGGATTTTAAAAAAAATATTTTCCCCATTTCCGTCGCAAGGTCTTTGACTTAGAATGAAAATGGTGGTAGTGCTCGTTTCCTGAGCAGATCTTGAAAACCGTACAATATTTCTTCACCAAACTTGGCACATAAATAGGCTCAGTGGTGAACTGGTGCCATTTGATACTTAAGGATTTTGATAAAAATTATTATTCGAGTTTCCCTGGCAATGACTTTTGACTTAGACTGAAATCACCAACCTTGGCACAGATCTTGAAAACAGTAAAATATTTCTTCACCAAACTTGGCATATGAATGGGTCTGGTGATAAACTCATGCCTTTTGATAGTTTGGGAGTTTTACAAATGTTTCCTTAGCAAGCGCTTAACTCAGAAACCGTTTACACATTCTACAAAAACATACATGCAGGGTTGTCCGAGAACCATTACCATAATTATTACATAATTGAGATGTATACCACTTGACAAAGGAACTGGACAAGGTACATGGTGAATTATTGTGAAAACATAATTAACAAGTGGCACCCGAACCAGCATACTTCATCACAGTGCATGGTGGTAATATGAAATAAAACTGAAACTTGAAGATTTCTTTAATGTGCGGAAAATGACTCAATTCATTCACTCTCAAACTCACTGTCTTGGAGCTACACTGGACTTCTTTACTGATCATGCCAGTGCTGTAGCACTCCGAACTGCATAAAAAAACGCCACAGAAACACACGTTTTACTTTCCATTTCATATGGATGCGACCATGGTGGATCTTTTGTTGGTAAACAATGTATGCTTCTTAAAGAACATTCAACTCTTGACTCATTACATACAGAATTGCACATTTACTTGTGGTTACTTTACAGACAGCTGCCGGGGGGATATGTCATCTTTCTGATGACTCTTGTTGTTTATGTAATAAGAGAACTCATTATAAATACAGTTATATATTCTATCATAAACTGCAGAAGGCAAATCTTTTTTAGTGCTGCAATTAGGCCATTTACAAAAAGGTTCAGTGAACATAGTTCACAGGAGCGAATGCATTGCACACAACTGGACATATCATATTGGTGGGGGATATGAGTATTTCAGGCTTGTTTCTTCATAAATCAGGTGAGCTACAGAGCCTTCAGGATATATTTTGATTTTCATTTTTGCAGGTGGAACACATAACCCTTCTCTTTGGGCTGGTACAAATGGTGGTCAAGTGTTCATCTATAATCTAAGTGTTCCAACAGACAAACGCTCTGCTGATACAGTCATGTGTACATTGGCAAAAGAAATCAAGTTAAAACACCATGCACCAGTAATTAGCCTAGCAGTGATTGATGGTAAAGCCAGGGTCCTCCCAGAAGCTTTAGAGGTCCAACATGAACGTGCCAAAGCACCAGACATGGAAAGTGCTCATTCTGTTGTCATTATATCAGAAGAACAACTCAAGGTTAGTGCAGAAATACTTTTCCTGTTAAGATCTTGTCTTTCTAAATACACAATTTTTTTTTATTGTATCCTGCATTACTATCTTAATGCTTCTACTGCTGATTTTTTTTCTTAGGAATTAATGGAGCTGCGGAGAGGTCTGGCTACAGAAGTGTACCCACAAGTTGCTTCCTCTTCCCACAGCTGTCACGTGACCAGAAGTCACGCACAATAACATCACTGCTAGTTATCAGCCTGTTAAGACGTTTGAGTTTATCCCTTGATAACCAATATGTTCTTGATTATAGTCTGGTGTACTAGGGTGGTCTTTTCAGGCATAGTTTTCAGGCATATGTTAGCATAGTTATTGCCTGTCTTTGGCTCTTTCCCAGCACTTACTTCGCGCATGTTGTACCTGTCTCCGTCTTTTTTCCCTGTTATGTTTACATGTCTGTGCTTTGATATTTGTTTCTTAGCTCTTGTTTCATGTGATGTATACCTTTTTATTCTGTGCCTTTTAAGTGTATAACTATACTCTTAGTGTCGTAGGGGTGGTAGTTAAAGCGTTTGCTCGTCACGCGAAGACCCGGGTTCGATTCCCGACATGGGTACAATGTGTGAAGCCCATTTCTGGTGTCCCCTGCCGTGATATTGCTGGAATATTGCTAAAAGCGGCGTAAAACCATACTCACTCACTCACTTAGTGTCGTAATTTGTCTCATAAAGTTTCTAAAAGTTTGAGTTACAATTACATGCCTGTCTTTCTTTGTTGACATGTGTGTCTGTTCTGCTTACATCGCTTGTCTATTTCTTTGAAATTATCAGTCGTGTTACGCAAAATGCCTGGGCAATGGATCAGCCAAGGATTCACACACCCATTGCACAGATTGTACTCTGCCCTGTTCCTCGTTGTCGTGGTGTTAGTTTTGTTGTGATCTCCCCCAGTGACCGTATGTATCAGGGTTTTGAGAAAATGACTCCCCCAACGTGCCCTACAGGGACACTTCTCCAAGTTTGGACATAGCTGATCATGTCAACACTGAGGTGCTTTTATCACCAACTACGCCGCTGTCATCACCAAAGGAACAGTGCCTCTCCCTCTATCATCTATTGCATATACGCCCAACATGTCTGTACCTACAATCACCTCTGTGTCATCAGCGCAGCCGGCACTGGCACTCCCCATACTGCCTCCTGGTTTCAGCTCATTCCCTACACCGTATCTGGATCCTGCCTGGATTCATTGGATGCAATGTACCCGTCATCCGTGGCTCAGGCAGCACCTTTGGTGCCTGCTTTTTTCACAATACCTATGTCGACACCTCCAGCAATGCAACTCCATTGATTACTTTGGTGACCATGGTGCCCTGGTTTTTCAACCATCAATCAACATACTTCGGTGTCTACAGCCACAGTACTTGTGCTAATAGCTCCTCTTACGCAGCATATATGCACACCTTTAGTGCCAACAACTATGACTACCTCTCTTCCGTCTTTGGCTCCTTTGGAGGACGCCATCACTCCTTGTCAGTCTCATACATGTTGCTCTATCTCTCCCAGGTCTTCCTGTCGTACTTCTAGATCCTCTCACTCCAGAAGTTAGTCCCGTAGTTGTTCTCCCCTTTGACGACAATCCGACCATCATTCAGAATCTCCTACTTTTGTCTAATTACATTGAAACTGTTCAGGACCAGAATCAATGCCAATGATTCCCTGATCAGTCTCGACCTCTAGGACGTTTATCTTTATGTGCAAATCCACCCTAGTTGCAGTTCTTCAGGTTCATTTTCCAGGGTATCCACAACCAGTGGGCAGTCTTCCCAAAGGCATTTCATGGCCTGGTGGTTAATTACCAAGCCAATTTCCAAGCCAATTACAGCATACCTACACCTGAGGAAAGTTTGAGTCATTGACAACTGCCTACTGAATCATCCGGACACGGAAACCTCGCACAACTGGGATGGATCATCAACTAGCTCAAGTCAGAACTCACTCCTCCAGATCAAAGGCTGCCTGTTTCTCACGTACCAGGATCTCCTCCTGGTACCAGACGACAGGTGGCACAAAAAACAGCACCATCTATACTCACACGCAAAAGAAACGCAAGTCGAGTATGCAGTATTTTCAACAGTAAAGACAAGAAATACAAATAGGGCAAGATTGACAAAAATTTGACTGAAGACAGTAAAAGGCAGATGACATAATTGTTTTTTTCAAATGTTAAGGGCTTACATAGTTTCGGGTCAATACCCAAAATGTCAGTCAATACCTGAGTGACCATCATTAGCATTGATCACTACAACACATCTCCTGTACATTGAGTGGATCAGACGATTTGTGAAGGCCCTAGGGATCCTCCTGCACACACCCAGAGCAGCTGTGCGTAGTTCATCGGCAGTTGTAGGGACTGGGCGCACATTGTGCAGACGCCTTTGAACGTCATCCCACAAGATGGAGTTCAGATGAGGGCTGAGGGCTGGCCACGGTAGAACACGGATGTTGTGTTGTTGCAGAAAGGCCATGGTAACTCTGGCAACATGGGGACGAGTGTTGTCCTGCTGGAAAATGTGTTGCTGATGTTGTGCAAAAAATGGAACAACGTGGGGTCAGATCACTTGGTCGATATACCGCTGAGCAGTGACGCCGTGTCCCCGACCTTGACCAACATTCAGAAAGCACATGGGTCCAAGTCTCGCATTAAGTCCAATCATTGCCCATATCATGACGCTAGGTCCACCCCATGGATCCCTTTCCACAACTTTCCTGTCAGCGCCGCCGCCAAATTCTGACTCTTCCGTCTGCATGGGAGACACAAAAGCGACTTTCATCAGAGAAGATGACACGCCTCCATTCACGATGACGCCAATTGCGATGACCCTGTACCCACTAAACTCGTGCTTGTCGATGCCGTGGTTGGAGAACAGGACGATGTGCTGGTCGGCGACATCTGAGGTTGTTAGAACGGAGACGTCGGATCACAGTGTCCCGGCTAATGTGTCGATTATGTGTTCCTATTGTCTGTCAAGCACTTTCACTTGCAGTTAGGAACAGATGTCGCTGGTGTTGACGGGTAATCTGCCGATCTTGTCAAGGTGTGGTGACCCTAGGACGACCGCTCCGAGGAAGGTCATCTGTGGTCTGTGTAGCATTGTATCGATGCAGGAGACGGTAAATTGTGGTTATGTTAACGTTGAAATGACGGGCAACATGTTGGACAGACTCTCCAGCTTCCAAACGTCTGATAGCCTGGTTTCTCTTAATTTGAGTAAGGCGTGGCATTGTTGACCAAGGAGTGGTAGGTCCAAGAATCAGTCACAGTTTTATACCCACTACAGTTCGTGACAGTTTGTGCATTTTTTTTTTTGCGAGAAATGGGTGCATGATAACCACTTATTCATTGAAATGGTGTGTTTTGGCGATTTGTTTTTTATGTTGCGTTTTTACTCGGGGCTTCCAAAATGCAAGCAAAAATATTGATAACACCCTCAGGCTTCACTACATGCTAAAACTCTTATCAATTTATGTTTTCGTGTTTGTTACCTATGTGCTTAAAACCACTTGCGTTTCTTTTGCATGTGAGTATACTTCCTGCCCTGCGTCAATGGCAGGTATGAATGGGCCTTTCTATGTCAGCTCAGGATCTGACGACCAGAGGCCAACTACAACTACGTCTGCTACAGCAGTTTCTGGCCTCATTTATTCGTCGGCAGAACCCGCTGACCTCCATAGCACGCCCGACTCCCATATCTTCATTGGTTGACAGTAAGACAAATGTCTGCGACGGCGTCTCCTTGACAGCGCTCAAGCCTTCCCTCCACCTGTTCGTCGATGCATCACAACAGGGCTGCGGGGCATATCTGCAGGATCAGATTGCCTCCTGGCTGTGATAAAATGATCAACTCCGATGGCACATAAACAATCTAGAATTAGAAGCACTCATCCCGGCTGTGTCTCATTGGCAGTCCCAGCTTCAGCACCAAGTGCTAGCCCTATCCACAGACAACATTACAGTCGTCTGGTATCTGCGCAACGAAGGGACTCCTCACTCGTCATCCCTAAGCTCTCAGGCCTTTCGGTTCTTTCGGTTAGTGGATCGACAACACATGAGGTTCATCATCAAGCTCATCACTGGTTGTCGCAACATCCTGGCAGACACACTCTCCAGACCGAACATTGAGTGGATGTTCCACCCCCATGCCTTCACCCTGGTGTGCCGGTGATTCAGCATGACATGTTTTCTCTTCGCTTTTGCTATGGCGGCTCGAGTCGACAAGTTACATGCTCTCGACGTCTCCCATTTCGAGCATAGATCACAAGGTGCTGTCCATCTTGGGCTGTGCTGGTATATTCATTGCTAAAAATCAACTGCCAGGACAGCCGGACAGATGACTCACCATTCCTCCATTGCCATTGATAATTGGATCCGAAAAAAAGATGAACTACCTCTATGCCCAGTTCAAGCCTTATGGGTTTTCCTCTGTCGATCCGAGGCACAACGTGGGTTTCAGAAACAACTATTTATTCTGGTCTTGCCTATGTCCATGACAGAAGTTAGTCATAACACTGTCTCACTATGGCTATATTCCATTATGCTGCAGGCGTATGAATTAGCAGGAATGGACCCTCCTAGAGTCAAAAATCCCCATGAGATTCGAACTCTTGCCTTGACCATGGCTCTCCACAGCAATTGCTCCATCCAATCCATCATGGAGGGTTGTTTTTGGCGCTTGGATACTGTCTTTGCCAGTCATTATCTCAGTCGTGGCTCTTGAGGATATGTGCAAGGTGTTCATAGTCTTGGTCCACTGGTGGGAACGCAACTGGTCACTAAACCCAGTCGATCTTGATTCTTACACCTCAGAACTGAGCCTGCGACCACTCTGGTAGCATTACCCAAGTAGGGGGTTTTAGTTTTCCGCCTTTTTCCAGTTGCAGGAATCGGAATTTAGAACTTGGCCGACACCCTTTCCACTTTTCCTGCTTTCCATGTCTGGATTTCACACCTAATCTTCTTCAGGTGGCTCTATCGGACAGGAAGGTCTGTTGTTCCACTTTTCCCGTTCAGGATGCTATCTGGTTACCCAGACTGGTTGGAGCGTCTATCCTAAATTCCATCTGAAAGGTATGCCCCCCTCTGTTCCGTCTGATAAAGACGCATTAAGTCAGTGCAGGATAAGATAAAACATTGCGAAAAATCAAAAAGATTTTACTTTTAGATACTTATCCTGCATTACTATGTCTAAAGTGCCCTCCCATGGCTTTGCTACCTCCCTACAAAGTTCTATCAGATGGTCCGTTACTAGCAGTGATGTTATTGTGTGTTACCTTGCCACTTCCCGTCACATGGTAGCTATAGGAGAAGGAAGCAACACAACTAGTGGGTACAACAACTTCTGTAGCCAGACCTCTCACAGCTGCGTCTCCTAAGTAGAAAAACAGCATTTGAAGCATTAAGGCAGTATTGCAGGAAAAGTATCCAAATGAAAAAAATATTTAAAAGAACACTGTATATACATTGTATATTGTATGTGGTTAATGTATTCATGTTCCAACCCAATACATCTGTTCTTAGGTGGTTTGGAGTGCTCCATGAAGGCATTTTTTGTGTAAGTTAAGATTTACTAACTTAAATTTCTAACAGAGTAAATAACTTTCCAAATTGATACTATTTTGTTTGTTGTCCTTTATTCCAGTCCTTTGCATTGCCTTCACTGAAGCCCAAGTGGAAGTTCAAGCTAACAGCCTTAGATGGCTCTAGAATACGAAAAGTGGCTTTTGTCAACTTCAGAAGTAAAAGTGGTGAGATATCAGATCAAATGTTTATAGGTCTTATTGTCAAGGAACAAAGCCTTAGGATCTATGCTTTCATGCAAAGCGTATGAAATATGTTGCAGAACATGAAGTATAATCTGACTGTATTAAGCAAAAGTGATGTGTTACTATACTCAGTTCTAGTACCGATAAGAGTTACCACCAAAAATTCAATATGATTGAAATGTTCATACTGTAGCATCAGAAACATAAGCTTACATCCATTTTTTCAGATTGAAAGAAGTATTACTTCTGGGCCTCCCCCTATTTACAAATAATGTACATAACAGTTGTCCTCAATAAAACAACCAAGCTTCTCATTAGATTGTATTTACATCAACTGGCTGCATGTAGTTGAGCTATCATATCTCTATACTTACTTTTAAATGGCAAATCAAATCATTTACCAAGACATAGTGAGCAACACCACAATCATCAATATGTTGGAGGTAGAGTGTCAAGCAAGGTGACTGTATTGTCTGTAACAGCTTATGTAATGGAGGAGAGCTATGACAGTTCTGATGGAGATCTTACAGCTCAATGGCCTGTGAAGTAAATTGGCTGGATGGAGAAGGGAAAAAACAAAAAACAACCCAGATCAATAAAATATAAAGGTATTACAGATTTATGGGGCCATATTATAGTGCATAGTCAAAAAGTATATCGTATGACTTGAGGTGGACGACCAGGAGATAGCACTTGGTCAGTGAAAATGTGAAACTTGGTGAAGGTTAGCTGTATGTTCAATGATCTAGGGGAATATTAGTATTTGATTAGACAGGTCCAGAATTGTTCTCTCTACCAAAGACGTCCCCACCATTTCTTCTCCCGGTTGTCAGAAAGGTATTGCTCTACACGCAAGAGCTGCAGGATGAAACAGTTTATCAACATCTTCAACTTCACACAAGCATGTATCCTGATCCACAAAGTGGGATGAGCTATAGTCAAGAGCCAAACAACATTGATGATAAATGTTTTAATTCTGTTCTTTTGGTGATAGTTATAATTGGTGACATACATTTAATGGGTGAAATGTCAGCATCTAAGGTGGCTGTACTCAGGTTCTTGTAAATGTTCCATCTGCTCACATTAGCTGTTATGGTTGATAGTATTATATTTTTGTAAGTATATTAAAGGGAATTACCGTAGAATTCCTGTTGTGTGGAAGTGATTTTTTATTATTATTTTGTCTATTTCCAGCTGATAATTACAGCGAGTTTGACATTGCCTGTCTTAGCAACCTAGGAGAAGTGAGTGTTTATGGTATCACAACTCTGAGGCAACAGATGGTTGCTCCTGCCATCAGGAAAGAAGACATCAAGTATGTTGTTACCAGTTTCAAAAGTCTTGTATATTATATCATTCTTTTCTGTTCATACGTATCAATGATTGTCTTTGAAGAGTATTATATGGCTTTGTCAAAAGGACAGAAATAGACAGGCGCAGTCCTGACTGTTTGCAAATATGAGTAAATAAGGGTAATTTCATTACCTGGAGTAAATCTGCCCTCTTTGCTTGAAATAATCTGTACAGTCTTCACACAGAAGGCAAGTCATGGACCTCATACAAAATGCTTCCTTCTTGAATCCAGGAATCAGTGTTGGACATTTCTACCTGTTTTTGTCCAAAAGGTATTCTGTTCACACTGGGCAAGTAGATGCACAAGTCGTAGTAGGAAGGACTCAAACCTTCCTCTCCTGCTCCTTTTATAGGTATAGCCAGCTATCTATGAACAGTAACCATGCCAAGCTTTCAGATTATATCATATGTCAACATCAGCCACCAACTGAGGTTACTCTATCACTTTGGGTGAAGGTCAATGACAAGATAAATGTTATGCTAGCTTCACTCAGTTTTCTACTTACTGTCATTAGAAATAAAGTTACAACATAGACACTCAAAAAACACATACAAAAGACACTTTTGCAATCAAGTAAATGTAGCTTGTTATCCCCAACCCCAACGAAGTTGGCGGGGGATATTGAAATGGGTTCCGTACGTACGTCTGCGTGCATCCGGAAATTGTTTCTGGAGCATAACTCAGAAACCGTTAAATATTTCTCTACAAAACTTTGCATGTTTATCAGACTCATGCTGAACTGGTGCCTTTTTCTATTTAGGAATTTTAGAAATTTTTATTTTTTAAGTTTCCATGGCAACAAGTTGGACTTCTATAAGGGTGGTGTTCGTTTCCGGAGCGTAACTCAAAAACTGTTTAATACTTTCTAACAAAACTTTTTTTACTTAGTGATAAGTGTCTTCAGTGGGGACAAGTTTTCTAAAAAACTACTGATGTTACATGATTGAAACTTTGCAAGCTTATCAAAGAGAATCTTTACATATCAAGACTGAGTTCGAAAATTGGTGCCATAATTTATTTATTCCAGCAAAGGGAGCTTTTCTCAAATTTTCAGTTAACAATATCATCCTAGTACTTATCACTTCTTAAGGTTTTATGGGATGCCAAGTTCTGTCCCTTGAGCACACCTGAAATCTAAGATCGTGGTGTCCAAACCCAGATCACTCTGCTTTTGTTTCTAGGTTTCTCAGCACCATACCCGTGCTCATGGATTGCACCACATTAAGGTTACACCCAGTGGTATAATGGGAATATTGTTCAAAGAGGTGTTAAACCAAACTTGCTCACTCATGGCGGGGGATAGTGATAATGCTGTTTTCTTGTTTGTCTTTGTTTTGAAGCTGCACTGTACTACTCATGGCATGTATTTTCGCCACCTGGAAGTGGATACGACCTCCTTTTTAAAGTGGTTAGATGCACAGGACTTCATGTTTCAAAAATATATTGCATTTAACATGTTTTCTCAAACTGACCTGTATAAGCATGATGAGTTGGATAGCAATACACAAATATTTCACAGCTACATGATTGTTATTAGTCTTTGGCAATATTAATTTTTCTTAGTCTGAAAACCAACCATGAAAAGCGAATTTTCTCTCCTTTTCTCCTCCAAAAGGTCAGACTTTTTTTTCTCTTTTTCAAAATGAGGGGCTGTCGGGTGGCCTAGTGGTTAAAGCGTTCGCTCGTCACGCCGAAGACCCGGGTTCGAATCCCGACATGGGTACAATGTGTGAAGCCCTTTTCTGGTGTCCCCCGCCGTGATATTGCTGGAATATTGCTGAAAGCAGCATAAAACCAAAATCACTCACCCACCTCCTTATTTCAAAATGTAACTCTATTTGGATGTCGAGACTGCTATTATAATTACACACTTTTGATGAGTAACTTTCCAATTAACATTTATCGGTCATCAAAAGAAGTGAACAATACTTCAGAAGTATTTGTAATTTTTCGTTTGGGAACAAGCATGTTTGGTTTTTAAAAAGTTAGCAATTTGTAGTATATGTAATATGAGTGGTAACAGTGAAACACCCTCCAAAAATCACTGTAGGCATTACATGGAGGGTGATGTACACATTGCATGCATTATCATATATTATTTTACCTGGGCAGCTCCAGCCACATGACCTGTCTTGCTCTGTTCACATGACCTGTGGGATTACTTTGCCGATATGAATGTTGAGTTTGTGGGTCAGTTTGTTTCACCTTTTGTAAATGGGTTATTTTCCATATTAGAATCATTCACGACGACACATATACGTATTTTTACGTATAGTAACCACTTCTCAAATCAAGACACAATTTCACTCTCTCGAAAACAAGTGAATATTGCATAATGCCGTATCAATACTGTTTTCAATGTACATTGCCTCAATTGTTTGTTGCTTTATATAACTGAAATGTATATGGGCCTGTGGCCTCCCATTCATGAATAAAACATATATAGTATCTGCTGAGAGCGGTGTTAAGCAACAAACAAAAAACATACATGATATTGGCAATATTACAGCTATTTGTGGCCTCTAAATATTATAAGTTGTAGCAGGATCACTTAGGGTACATTGGGTTTTTATGTCCCGCGTTTTGGGTGGGTGCTTCATTGTCATCAATCAAACAGCAGCTACTACGAATTTCTAACTTTCCAATACTGCACATGCTTGTCCCAAATGAATTATGAACACTTCTGAAGTATTGTTTACTTCTTTTGACAATCGGTAAATGTTAATTGGATAGTTACAAGTGTATTTTTTTCATTGCAATCCCGAACATCCAAATACAGCTACATTTTGAAATAGAGGAACACAGTATAGAGGAAAGTTACTCTCTGCCCTTTCTGGAAACTCAAAGTGTTGACCCCTAATTCCAAACAGTAATTCACACCCATAGTGACATAAGATTCATGCTAAGCCATATTTGAACTCTTGTTATTGCGTGAAAGCCATTACTATTCAACCCAACAGTTCTAAGTGAAATAATATCTTGTTGCTCCATATCTGAACTCATTAATATTTAAATATAAGGAAATGTTTACAATTTTACATGTGAAGTTGCAAAAAATATTTGAGATCTATTGATCAATTTAAAATCTACATGTGCTTCATTCCACTTGTTGCACAATCATAAACAAATTAGAGATATTTTATTTGTTGTAGTCTGAAGTAGTGAACTGCATTACTTTTTTTTGTTTGTTTCAGTGGCATTTCTTCATTTGTATTCACCAAAGAAGGCCAGGGATTGTACCTGCACTCTCCATCGGAGTTCACTAGAGTAACATTGTGTCCTCGCTTTGTGATTGAGCCAATATGTATGCTAGAACTGAAAGAAGGCATGAGACCTGAGCCTCAGGCTGAAGCTCTCGACACAGGAGTACAAGACCAGTATGTATGCTCAAATTGTAGTGTGGGTGTCATGTGACAGTAGAACAAACCCATGGTAATGGGAGGTACTTTGGGACCGATCATTTGATATTTGGGGGCGGGGAGGGGGGCTTGGATTTTGTATCGCAAGTACATATTTTTTCAGCTACAAAACCAGACTTTTTATATTTAAAACTATGAGCATGAATCTATTTTTAAAAGAAAAACGCCTGACATCTATCTAATTTTTGTTGCAATTTCTTTTTCTTTCAACATAAATATTTATTGTCTTGAATTTTCGGGGACAATTCTTTTCTCTTTTTTTTTCAAAATAATCCCAGGCCCACCCCAGAATGTGAAATAGTGTCATGTTAAGACTATATAATTTCAGTCAACACTTCAATATATACAAAAATAATTCTGAAAGTAGGAGACATTTTTTTTTTACCCACAACACATTGTTTTCAAAACATCAAGCATGTCGATTGAAATGAACAATATTTCTTTTCTTTTTTTTTCTGTCTTTTTGTAAAACCATGATATTTTTTACTTATCCTGCATTATTCCTTAATGCATTTACTGTTTGTTCTTAACGCTGAGAAAGAGTTGTGTGAAGATCTCACTTGAAGAAGTTGTTTCAACTATACTCAACAACAAAAGTTCCTGTGACACCAATATTTGGAGGGGAGGGAGGCACGGGTGGCCCAGTCTAAGGCGCCGCAATTGCCTGTGCAGAGTTGCGTCCCTTGGGCATGCCAGAAACCAATGATTGTGGGTTTGAATCCTGGTTCGCCCCGATTATGTTTCTAGGTTTGTCAGCACCATACCCGTGCTCGTGGGTTTCACCAAAGTGGTTAACGTCTGAGACCTGCTGACATGCCGTGATATAACTGGAATACTGCTAAAAGCGGGTTAAAACACAACTCACTCACTCACTCACCAATAATTTGGTGTATTTTTCAAACAAGTAAAGTTTGGTTTTCAATATTGTAGTGCCTGTATGGAATCAAGTCACAAAAACACAACTGCTACAGAAAAGCATGCATTCCATGCAAAAGTTGACTTTTATGCAAGCCCCATGCATTTCACTACCCAAGAATGGGTATAAAAACATGTGCGTTAACGGGATTCCATATGCATTGTTTAGCATCGTGCTGACAACAACCTCTCAAAAAAACAACAAAATTACGCAATTATTCAACATTATTGTGCAAGACACTAAGCTTGCCTACATGGAAACTGAAATTCTTCACTCTCTCATGGTATCTACCTCAAGGGCTATTATTCAGGATCTGTCAGAGGACAATCCACATCGTGTAGACCGCATCTTTATGGGGACCGCCTCCGTGGTCTAGTGGTAGAGCGTCCGCCCGGAGAGCGGAAGGTCCGGGGTTCGATCCCCGACCGCGTCATACCAAAAGACGTTAAAAGATGGTACTTGTTGTTACCCTGTCTGGCGCTCGGCATTAAGGGGCTAAAACAAGGACTGGTCGGCTCGGAGTCAGTATACTGTGTCTGAGTGGGGTATTCATGTTAAAACTGCGGCATGGTATCTCAGTATCGGGCTAGTACAAGCAGCCACACACACACAGACACAGACAGACAGACACACACACACACACACACACACACACACACACACACACACACACACACACACACTCACACACTCACTCACTCACGTCGCTATATAAGTGCAATAATCTTGGATGCTACGTTAAACCCAACTTCACCTCACCTATCTTTATGGGAGTCCATTGCCAATTGGCGGTCCTCCCATTTGGAATTTCTTCGGCCCGTGGCTATTTACAGGCCTTTCAAGGCCTTCTGGGCCGATAGCTTCGTACCTCCATCTCTGGGATATTCAGTTCGAGGCCTACATAGACGACTGTCTCCTGACTTCACCCTCCGTTTTCTCCACCAACTGGCATGGAAAATCAACCTCATTCCGCTTTCAGTTCATCAACGGTCTTTTTCAGACTGACCTCGACCTCCTCTCTGTACCCAGGGCCTGTAGGATGCATATACAACTACACTTGGTCCCGGTTCTCCAGCAGCGACGCACGCTGTGTCGGCGGCAAGTCCTCCTTTGCCTCCTAACCTCAGCACAGGACTTGCCGAACAGAGGAAGGCTCCATCTGTGCACTTATAACGGCTGTCTCACATTGTAAGCAGAACTTCCGACACGCCTGACTTTTCCTTTCGATGGACCACATAACTGTTGTCTGGTGCCTCCATGACCAGGGAACGACTCGCTCACCTTCGCTTCCTTCAACAGATATTCCACTTTTACAACCTGGTGGATCATCTTGGGATCTAATTCCAGGTCCAACAAATTCCGGGCTGTTGCAACCTTATGGCAGACGCTCTATCCCGTCCTGTCATAGTCGCCCTGGCAGAGTGGAAGCTCCACCAAGACGCCTTCGCTCTTGTTAGTCAGGACCACGGATGCCTCAACATTGATCTGTTCACCACCAGCCCAAACCATCAGATACTGACATTGATACCGTCAGTACTGGATCCCCTAGCCTTGTTTCGTCGACGCCTTCAGCATCCCATGAAGGACTAAAAGTGTCACTATTCTGCCACCCATACTCCTTCCCAGATCCAAGTTGACGCAGTGCCTCGATCTGACTTTGGTCGCGCCCTGGTAGCCATTGAGGGCCTAGATCGTCGACCCCAGAGACAAAGCCAACGCCGACCCGCTGCCACTCCCAGACTGTCCAAACCTGCTAATCCATCCCCACAGCAGGCAGCCACATCCGGGACCAGACAGGTTATATCTACGCGTCTGATCCATCTACAGAGATTGTTAAACCCACAGGGGTACTTGGCAGAGCGACAAAGGCCATCGCAATGGGACATCGTCCGTCCACTATGAGCCTGGGTGAGAAGATGAACAAGAACTCCTCCTGTGCCTGGTGAGAGCATTGTGTTGTTACATCCGTCGGTCCATGGAACGCCGTAGACAGCGCCTCTTCGTACCAGTGTCAGCAACCTCTCAAGAGGAAGTCAGCCACAACACCATCGCCCTCTGGCTATGAGCCATTCTCCAGGCCTACAAGTCCACGGGATGGGACAACCCCCCCAAGCTCTAACAACACGCATGAGATCCAGCAGGTCACCGCTACTAGACACCACTGACCTCCACTCCTGTCCAGAGCCGGCCTCTCGACCTCCCCAGCAATTGCCTTGGAATAGGAGGTTTAATGCTTGACGCATTACGGTTTGGTACGTCAGTCTACAACTTTAAACTTGTTTATCGCCTATGGCTGCGTTTTACCTGGATACTCTACAAGCTTCCTGTTTTGCTGAGACTGCTGATGACCACACATTCGATGATTGGCTGAGGGAGATGAGACGAAAGTCCACATCTGAAGGTATGCCCTCCACCGTTTCTGTCGGATAAAGATGCACTAAGGAGTAATGCAGGATAAGTAAAATATCTTGTGAAACCTAGATATTTTTTATGTTTGTATACTTGTATCCTGTATTATTACGTCTAAAGAGACCCACTCGTCGCAGAGCTGCCTCCCCACTGCTCACATGGGAGCTGTGTGATAGGGTTGGTCTATCAGCCAATTGAAACAACTTCTTCAAGCAAGATCTTCACACAGCTCTTTCTGTCAAGAACAAGCAGTAAATGTATTAAGGAGTACTGCAGGATAAGTATACAAATATAAAACCTTTCCCAGGATTTTACTAGGTTTGGATACATTATTTACTTCATAAAAATCCTCTCACAACAAGGCCTATGCAACAGAAGATCTCTGCTTGGTGTCTCTCTGTGACAGAATTCTGAAAGGCTTTTAAAATGACTGCCATGGTAGCCATATTGGAATTATTATAGCCCATTACTCGACCATTTATACATGTATAATTAAATGTGATATAGAGTAAGTATTTTGTATGAGGAATAACATATAATCTGTTTGCCACAAGGTATTTAACCAACACTGGATATGGGCCAACTCCACAATTTGTCTTTTGCAATCACTACTTAAACATATGTCTTTAAGAAAGGGCCTCATTCTGAATTCCAGATGTTTCATGTTATTTTTTCATATCGTTGTTGAAAAATGCAAATGCTAGAGTTGATATATCAGCGGTAGAAATTGGCACTAAAGTACTCATGGAAATGAAAAAAACTTGTTTTGCTGGATTTAATAATCGACACAAAGCATTACGTAGATGTAAATACGAAATAACAAAACAACTGGAAAAGTACTAGTCTGGATTTGCTAGTTTTATCTCAGTGCTCAATACAAAATGTACTTTACAGGAGGTAATTTGTAGGCACTTTCAACATTCAAAAATAAAACTAAGTCCAAATTGACATGGCAGAAACAGACTATAGGCATTATGCAAATTAGCCTTGGAAAAAAGTTATCAAAACAACAATAAAAATAAAGGCTATGTTTATGTACATAATAATAATGACATGTAAGTTGTTGTTTGAGAAGGAAATATGTTACCTTTACGTTCTGATATTTTGACGACGATTCACTATCCCACAATGCCATTCACAAATCACTAACCACTGACAAATCACGTGGGTTTCAAGCACCTGTTTTCACCTGTCGTCAAGGTGTCATAGGTCATGGACATTCACCTTGATCTACTAACACCTGGTTATGCTCAGTTTCACAATAGTCTGTTTTGTTCATATTTTTACACACTTTTACGTGTAAAAAAAGACATAAAAACCTTTGATACGCTGTATTTGTGCCAAGGCCCAATTATGACTAATTGAGTTGTTTGAATATTTATATATTTTGTATATTAACTGCATTTATTTAAAATCTGAGATCGAAAAAACAGTTTTTTTTCCCATTTCCGTGAGTACTTTAGTCCTGTAGTCCTTGCCAAACTGACCAATAGTTAAGGTATCATAAGGACTAGTAGAAATTTGCCATTTTTAAGGGTTTTGCTATATGGTATCATTATAAGGACTAGTGGATGAAAACTGTTAGTTTCTAACTCTGTATATTGAATCAAGATTTTAATGCAAAATTCTTATG